CATAGTGCGCGTAACATGACACGATACTTTTTGGTCACCGTGAAGTTTATTTCTTGATGTTGGCCCGGATATCATAATCGAGTGCGATTTTGGCATATTTTACATACCTTCCGTGTAGTGAGGAAGGTGCTACCCTTCTGTTTTTTTTTTCCTCCAGTGCCCCATTGGCGCTAATAACGCAATTCCTGCTGCTGGGTTGTATTGGCGCGACATACAGCATTGCTGAAAGCACAGCGCGTCCACCATAGTTGAAATAAGAGCCAGCTCAAAAATAGACCGTTGTTGTCATAACTTACTTGTGTTTGGGCACGTTTGGCCAATCACATATTCCTAGAGAGAACCCTGCCAGCGTGAAAATCCCACGTGTGTGCTTCTTTTGTGTTGCATTTATCCAAGAAGAAAGAGAAGGCCAACCCCGAAGCAATATGGGCAGCNTAACTTACTTGTGTTTGGGCACGTTTGGCCAATCACATATTCCTAGAGAGAACCCTGCCAGCGTGAAAATCCCACTTGTGTGCTTCTTTTGTGTTGCATTTATCCAAGAAGAAAGAGAAGGCCAACCCCGAAGCAATATGGGCAGCGACACGAAGACGTCAAGCAAATCCTCGACAAGCAAGAAGGCTCCCTCGAGCGGGACGAGCACTGGAACGGCCGGTCGAACTGTAAGCGGTGCATCAGGTGCACCCGGGAGTAGCGTAAGTAGATCAACGACTGCTCGCCCAACTGGGAACCCGGGGTCGACCATGGCACGTACTTCAAGCGGAAGGGATAATCTGGCCCTGGCGCGCCGCAGCAGTTCGGACAACCTTCGACAAGCCCCTGGCTCGTCTGTTCCAGGACAGCCACAAACCAATGGAGTGTCCGCACCTGGAGCCGGTGCTCAAAAGGCGGGTCCCCAGGGAGTAAGAAGCAATCTACCGCCGGTCTCCCAACCTCCAGCGGGCACTCGCTCCGCAGCAGCTCCACCACCCGGGCCGAGTGGCCCAGGAGGAAGTGCATATGGTACGGGTGGACCGGGAGGAAGCGCATATGGAATGAACCGCCCAGGAGGAAGCGCATATGGTATGGGTGGGCCAGGAGGAAGTGCATATGGTATGGGTGGACCGGGAGGAAGTGCATATGGTATGGGTGGACCGGGAGGAAGCGCATATGGTATGGGTGGGCCGGGAGGAAGCGCATATGGAGGTGTTGGCCAAAGCAATGGATCCATGTATGGAACTGGGGGCAGCATGTTTGGTGGAATGGGTTCGCAGTCAGGGTCCATGCGTGCTGGTAGCGCATATGGTATGAACGGCCAGGGTGGCTCATTTTACGGTCAAGGCATGGGAAGTGTTGGAGGAATGAGCGGCTATGGTATGGGCAGTATGTACGGCATGGGAGGTCCAATGAGCATGGGCAGCATGTACGGCATGGGAGGTCCAATGAGCATGGGCAGCATGTACGGCATGGGAGGTCCAATGGGCATGGGAAGCATGTACGGCATGGGAGGTCCAATGAGCATGGGCAGCATGTACGGCATGGGAGGTCCAATGGGCATGGGCAGTATGTACGGCATGGGAGGTCCAATGGGCATGGGCAGTATGTACGGCATGGGAGGT